TGTAGGGGAGGACCCTCCTGTTGGAGTTTTGTTCATTTTCCAATGAGCGTTGGTTGGGGAGCCAGACACACAGACAGCCGGGAGTACTGAAGCGAAGGAGAGGGGAGTGTGGTAGACAAAAGGAGGCCGCTGCTCATGTGGGGGCGGGGAAGGGCAGTGTAATCATCCAGAAGTGTTGTTTCACATGGGTTTTGGTTTCTGTTTTGATTTGGGTTTTGGCGGTACTTGGGTTTGAACTCAGGTCCTTGTGTTTGTTAGACAGGTACTTAACCTCAACACTTCAGTTATTTTTTAGGTAGAATGTCACATTTTTCCCCAGACCATGCTCCTAGCTATGGCCTCCATTGTAACTGGGATAACAGACTTGCACCACCACACCTGGCCTTGACATGGTCTTGGGGGAAGGTTTCAGAAGGCAATCTCAGGCTAGGAGACCTGGTAGCTGGAGGTATTGGTGCAAGTAAGGAGTGGATCTACATCCCAGATGGGCCTAAATCCCCTGACCAGGGTCCTTATAAGAAGAGAAGAACCATGTGGTAGCCTGCAGCACTTGTAATCCCAGCACTCTGGAGGCTGAGGCAGAAGGATTGTGAGTTCAAGATCAGTCTGGGCTACATAGTGAGACCTTGTGTCCAAAAAAGAAAGAGAGAGGGCAACCCACTCAGGACCCCTCCTTCCCGAGGGAGCTTTCATTCTTTCCCTTAATAAACGGTCTATGCTCACAAAAAAAGAACGAAAGACAGAAAAGGAAACAAAAAGGGAGAGAAGAAGGCACAGAGGAAAGAAGGAGGTGTTAAAGATGGAGGTAACATTGGAACAATGTACCCAAAAGCCAAAGAATGCCTGGTGCCACCAGAAGCTGAAAGAGGCAAGAAAGTCTTCTTCCATAGAGCCTTTGGGAAGGGAGGGAGAATGTAGCCATGGCCACACATTGATTTCAGACTTCCAGCCTCCTGAACTGTGAAAGAAATAATTTATGTCTAGTGTTTTAAGCCACCAAGTTTGTGGTAACGTGTTAAAACACTATATGTATTTGGTGGGAGAACATTCAAGTTCATTATGAACTTTTAAATTTAATGTACCTACAGGGACAGCTGCAAACTGAGATGTTAGAATTAAAGCTGTCAATTTGGGAGGTATCCACAAAACATGGTGGTAGAAAAGTCACGTGGGTGAGATGACCAGAGGTGGGGGTTTAGAGTAAGAAGGCAGTGGGATGACTTACATCCAAGGGGTGTGGGAGGAAAGAGAGGCCCAGAAGAAACTGCTGTTGGGAACAGAGGAGTTGCTCAGCCATATTATATAGTGAGTGAGGTCTCCAGGGCATGAAGGGAAAGGTGTTGCTGGTTTGGAAATGCCTTGAGAATCAGTCACCCTCAGATTACACTGTGCTGGGTGAGAAGAAGTGTGAGGCAAAAAGGCAAGCACTGAGGACTCTCTGAGGTCTGAGTGGAAAGACCAAGGGAAATGGCACTGGTTACAGATGGAGGAAGGAACAATCAAGGAACTTTGTGTTTATTTGTTTCTTCTTTTTTTGCAGTACTGGGATTTGAACTTAGGGCATCTAGCATGCTAGGGAGGCACTCTACCACTTGAGAAATGCCCGCTTATTTGTTTTTTTTAAGAATATGACACTTCTTAGCTAGGTGCCAGTGGCTCACACCTGTAATCCTAGTTACTCAGGAGGCAGAGATCAGGAGGATCTCAGTTTGAAGCCATCCCGGGCAAATAGTTCCACGAGACCCCGTCTTGAAAAAACCATCACAAAAAAGGGCTGGTGGATGGCTCAAGGTGAAGGCCCTGAGTTCAAACCCCAATACCTCAAAAAAAAGAAAAAGAAAAAAGAATATGCAGTTCTTATGTTTTTAGGCTGAGGGGAGGAGGCAGGGAGAAGAGGCAGTTCTAAAGAAAAGCCTCCCCAATTTTTATTTTTTTTACTGTGCACCTACTGTGTGCCAGGCACTGCGCTGGGAGTTACTTTTATGATCTCACTGATCTCCATATGTGAATAAAGGGGATTGTTTCCATTCTACAAATGGAGAAACTGAGGCTACAAACCATAAAAGAATTTGGCTAAATCAATACATTTAGGATTTGAGCCCAAGTCACTGACTATAATGTCAGGTCTTGTCGTTGTATTCTTTTTGCATTGGAATATCTTTCTCTGATTCACAAAAAACAAGACACCTAAAGAAATAAGTATATTTGAAGTGGAGGAAAGAGAGGTGTAGGTGTTTCTGTCACAGTCTGTGTTCTCATCAGACTGTGAATCAAGGTGATCACCTGTAAGAGCAGAAAGGTGAAGCTAGGCACCCTGCCGGAGAGAAGGGGTTCAGGACAACTCAGTGCATGCGGTACAACCAGGGAGTAATAAAGGACCCTGCCTAACAGCTAGGGTTTGCTAGGATTCGTGGGCTGGATTTTTAGAGGCTCCAACATGCCTGGAGCAGACAGAAGTGTATCTAAGATGCACATCTCACTAGAAAGAATTTAAGGACACCTCTGGAAATGCCTAGAGCCACAGAGACTTCTGACTGTAGCTTGAGATACACGAATCCCCCAGGGCTCCAAGAACCAGCCATCAGCTATCCCAAGGGGTTTACCAGTCCCAAACCATCTGCCCAAGGAGAAATCCCGGACCAGCCTGCAGTGGTCCTGTCAGGACCCAGTCCTGCCACCTTGCCGCACAGTTGCCAATCTGATATGAAAATAACCCAAGTCCTCAACTCAAAAATAACAACATCTGCTAATTTGCATGGTCTTTTTGCATTTCATATCTGGGTTTAATACCCAAATGCTAAAATTCATCTGCTTGACCTAGTTAAGTGGTTTAGAGGTTCAACCAATAAAAACCTCCTTAGGGCTTTCTACTCGGCACCCCCAGATCCACTGGCACCCTGCTTTGCAGTCTTCTCTTGCCACTCATTGGATTGACTCTCAGATGAATTACAGGTTAAAAAGTACAAAATCGATTTCCCTAAAGGCTTGTCATTTTTAAGAAGGTCTTTAGGCAAGGGCACCTTCCCTTGTGCATAAATCAGTCAAAGCTCTGCTGGGGGTGGGGAGGTTTCTCTAGGGTCTTGGTTCACAGCATGCAGCCCTTCCTTGGAACTCCCTGGAAGTGGGTGGGAGGACAGCAGTTCGAGTGAGAAGTTGGGGAGCAGGCAGGAGAAGGTGATAATGAATCATCACAGGACCTAGTCCTCCAGGAAGGCAATTTACTGGGATTGATTGTTTCCGTGTTTCCTTAGTCAGGTTCAGGTTGCTTGTTTCACTGGGGTCAGGACAGGTGGAGACCAAATGCACACAGGACTGTGATGACAGGAAAATTACCCATGGCCTGTCCAAGGTCTCTGCCTTCTACAGGTGACCTGCAGGTCTCTGCCGCACCTTAGGGGTGTGTGGTCACAGTGGGGGTGCAGTCAGTGAGGTGAAGGCAGTGTTTATGGACTTTGCATTTGGGTAATGCACGCCCTAAGTTTTTTTCCCCTGCATGGTGTGGTGAGATGATCTTCCAACTTGAGCCCTGGAGGGCTTCTGAAACTTACACTGCTGGATACCATCTCCAGAGTTTCTGATCAGTCAGATTGAGCTGGGGCCTGAGAATTTGCAATTCTAACAAGTTCTAGGGTGATTCAACTGCTGCAGGACCAGACACCCCACTTTGAGACTCACTAGAGTAGGAGTTTGCATGGACACTGGGACCAGGCCTCCTAGCTTTCAGTACTGACTCTGATGCACCAGCTATGTGATGGTAAACCACTTAGCAAACCTTTTTGTGCTTCCTTTCCACATCTTGAAAGCAGGATGATGATAATATTTAGCTCTTAGGATTTTGCAAATGAGTGAATGAGAATTTGAAAGCATCCAGAGGTGCCTGGATAAGCTCTGGAGCTTAGCAGGGGTGCTGGACAGCATAAGCTCTGAGTGTTGTGTAAATACATAAAAGACCCAACCTCTGGAAACTGTGGTCAGATCACGTCAGGTCTCACCTCCCCAACTCCTGCGGCTCCCAGTGGAGCTCCTCAGTTATTTTACCCATTAGCCTTCAATCCCATCTCTGGTGGCTGAGAATGCTAATGCCCAGTTCGGTGCCAGCAGGAGGGTGGTTATTCTGACATCCATCATAATCCCCTTCTCAAACTGCCTTACCTTCAGATCTCCTGGATACACAGATGGGGCTCAGTGGGAGCAGGGCTCTAGGGTGATGTTGCAATTCAGGTTCCTGTCTCTCGTGCAGCTGAAAAGTGATCAGTGCTGTTTTATTGAATGAGTACTCAGTGCTCAGCACCACATCTACATTTCGGTTCCAGGGACCAAACCCAGGGCCTTGTGCACACTATGTGCACACTCCAACTCTGAGCTGCCCCCTACCCCCTCATCACTATGTTTTTTGCACTTTGTTTTATTTCACTCTTATGATGTCACTTAGATAATAATTGTGGGGGTTCCAGGTATCCAACAGTGGCAGTCGCTCCCCCAAGGATAAGTTCTCCGTACCTGGAGTTGACCTCTGTTTCAAGGGTTTGCTTTTCGAAAGCCTTTTGGAAATGTCATCTTGGGTCCCTTGCCTTCCATTGCTGGGTTCTGTCTCTGGCCTGACTTTCTGGAAGAAATTGTGTCCATGCTCTCAAAGGGAGCTTTTCTTATTTAAATTTGGTATTTTTTTTTTATGGTACTGGAGTTTGAACTCAGGGCCTACACCTTGGGCCACTCCATGAGCTCTTTCTTGTAATGGTATTTTTTGAAATGGGGGTCTCATGAACTATTTGCCTGGGCTGGCTTCGAACCTCAATCTTCCTGATCTCTGCCTCCTGAGTAGCTAGGATTACAGGTGTGAGCCACCAGCACCCAGCTTAAATTCGGCTATTGATTGAGTAGCTGAACCATTCTGCTCTAGAGCAGTGTTCCCAACCAAAGATCAAGAGAGCAGCCAGAGGCCACAGTGAGTGTGTGGAGAGAGGAACCATGTGTTAATCAAAGTTTGCTTTTTCTCTTAGTGCTCCTTTCTGCCGAAATTCTCCATCCATATAGAAACCAAGTATGAGGACAACAAAGGAAGCAATGACCGCGTGAGTAGCCCCCTCATTCTGAGCTGCACTTGCCCCTTGGGCTCTGAGAGTCACACAACATCTCTTACAGTCCTCGGTGGCGCCAGGCCCAGCAACAGGGTCTGTGCCCGGGACCTCAGAGGTGTCCTGGGCTTTGACCTCTTGAGTGTTATTTCTGTGGGACTTTGCTTGGAATATCTTGTTGCTGGCTTTTCTTTCTTCTCATTTGTATGAACTTTCCATGGGCTTCTGCAACCTGGAGTGATTGTCACTGGAGGTGCAGAGACTGTTGGGAAACTCAGAACCCTAGGATCTGGCTTCTGGCTATTGGATTAAACACACATCTTTTCAATGACTTAATATTTACTTAGAGAGCAGAATAAAATCAGATGTATGTGTGCACACTGTAATTATTATCTGGACTATGCTTATATTCACGTATGTACACATCCACATGTACTTCCCACCTGAAAATTGGTGACCCTGCAAAATATCTACCTCATGAGGTATTCTGACTCTTATAAATTGTATGTAGCCAGGAACTTTGTGTATTAGTATTGCTTAAAATTCATCCTTTCACCAGGATTTTACCCAAAATTTGTTTAGCTGGGATAATAAGGTGACAAGATTCTAAATTCCTTTCTCTTAGGAGTGAGCATTTTGACTTAACCAAAGGACTCACCTATGATGAGACTATGGGACCTGTGAGAAGAGCCTGTGTGTAAAAGCTGAAGGGATTTATTCACCTGTCAATTTCTGTCTTGTTGACATGTTTTGCATTTGTGAAAGTGATAAAGATTGGGACTGTACCAAAATGGGCAAAAAGGGGGAGAGAGAAAGTTTTCTGACAAGGTGACTGCTTTGGTGCCTTGACTGAATGCCAGACAGAATGTGGGAATATACCACCTGAGGTAACACCTGAGTAAGTAAGAACTGAGGACTCATAAAAACCATTGACTTGAAAATAGTCACTAAGGAGAATCAGGCAACCCCATAGAAAGGACAGCTTTGGCCAGGCCTACTGTGTGGTTCTCTGTGTTGACATCTTCTAGAAACATCTAGAAGGTATGGGTGGATATGTGGGATAGACATCATGCTAGCTTGTAATTTGTGCACTTGACTAGGCTGGAAGGGACAAATGGAGAGGCCCAGGCTGAAACGCTTTACTGTGATCTGATGTCTTAGTCTGCTGCTGCTTTGTTTAGGTCATTCTTCCCTGTCCTAGGGACACAGGATGCTCATTCAAGGTGAAGTCTGCCTGGATAGAACTTGAGTGGATTCCAAGAGGTGACATTCAAAAACTATATACGTCACACCAGCTTGGTTAAAGCAGACACACATTCATTCATCCATTCTTTCATTCAGTATTCAGGAAGGGAGTATCCAGCACCTTCTGTCTACATATCACTGTTTGAGTTACATGAATGGTATTAAAAATGTAGGCTCATTCCTCAAACTTCAGCCACTGATAGTCTATGTGGGGGGACAAAGACCAACATATAAAATGACCAAAAACATGTGCACAATACAGTACCTTCCTTGGCATGAAAAGTCACCCCTGGCTAACCTTAAATGGGAGCCGCTGAGGAGCAGCCTTCTACAATGATCATCTGTTAGCAGGGACTGACCCAGCTTGTACCTGGTCACTAGCTTACTGAACCATGTTAGGAAAGCTGGAGTTCTTCAGGGGCTGGCAAAGTGCTTTCTTTGTAAATAAAGTTTTATTGGAACACAGCCACACCCATCCATTGTGTATTATTCAGGCGGCAGAGGTGAGTAGTTGTGACAGAGATCACTTGTCCTGTGGTCTGAAATGTTCACTACCTGGCCCTTTCTAGAAAAAAAAGTTTTTCTGGCCTTCTGGTTTAGAAAGACTCAGGTCAGAACAAATTCAGATCTCTGAATTTGTCCACTTGATTATCTCCGTATCAGTTGTCCCAGCCTCATGCCTTTTCCCCCGGAACTTTCCAGAGAGAAGAATGCCACCAATCCCACTGGGTTCAGAAGCCCCATAGTTAGCATCCGCTGAAGGTGGTGACGCAAAGGGGGAGATATGTTGGACCAACCCCGTCTGCACCCTGAACTCAAAGGCACTTTTCTGGCTGACTGCATAAAATCCACAATGTCTGTAACAGTGTCATCTGGTGTTTATACTTGAATCCATGTAAAATGACAACTTTTTTCTGATTAGAAAATTAATACATATTCACACTTGAGAAATGAAAAGAAAGCATAAAAAAAGAAAAGCAAACCCAGTAGTAACCCCATGATTCAGAGATGAGTGCTGTGAGCATTTTGGTTCACAGTGCAGGTTATTAATGATGTATTTTTTAGCCAATTCCTCCAAAATTGAGTCACGCAGTATGTTATTTTTAACAAGTTATATGATTTTTAATGGTATAAACTGCCTTCCATGCTTCAGTGTACTTCTTTGAATAACCACTGGTCACTGGATGTTGACGTGGCCTTGGCCATTTTCCATAGTGGTGGACTCTCAGGAAAAGGACAGTGAAGATCGGATGCTGGCTGGTGGAGTCGCTCAAGTGGCATAGCGCCTGCCTAGTAATCGTAAGGCCCTGAGATCAAACCCCATTACCACAAAAAAACCAAGATTGGGTGCCTGAATCGCTTTTCCTGGCACAGTCAGAAAATATGGTGGGGGGGGGGAGGTGGCAATTTTCCTTTGTTTTCTCTCTTTTTCTCTGTGCCTCTGTCTCATTCATAAGTTTATTCTTCATCTGTGATCCTTATAGGTTGATAGGACTTCCTCTGGTTCCCATAATTCATTTATTACCATGTCTCCTTTTTTTGGGAGAAGGTGCTAAGTTCTTTTCTTGACTCTCATAGGAATTTAGGCTTTTTATTCCCCTTCTAGGAATTCAAAATACAATGTTCCCAACCCCAAGAGATGATAGATATTTGGGGTAAAGGATATGCCAGTTATCCTGATCTGATTAGTCCATACTGTATACATGTACTGAAATACTACTTTACTGCAGAAATATATACAATTATTATGTAATTGTATATTAAAAGTACAATTAAAAATTTTAAATCTTTTGAAAATATAAATTGTCCACCTTAGAGCCAGGATCTGTGTCCATGCCAAGTTAGCATTCCCTGCCCATGCCAAGGGCCAGGTCCCCAACCCTTAGGCCAACCTGCGAGAGAGGCACTAACCCCTGGGCACTCACGTGCCAACCTTGTGAACTCGGGGCACCAACTCCAGGAGAAATGCCAGCTATGGTACCTGGGCTGCCTCCTTCCTGCCAGCACATTGACCCTGACACTGCCTGTGGGGTTGCTCCTTATCTCTCTGTCAGGTCACTCACCTTGCCAAGTCCATGTCCTGCTGCATTATTGCACTGAAGAGGCCCGACATGCCTGTGTACTTGAGTCACCACCCTAGCCTCTGCCCAACTCTGCTTCCTAGGCGCAGTCTTGTCCCTGAGGCCATCGCACCCAAGAGCCTGGCCCCTGGCTTGATTAGCTAAATGCCAGGTCACCCTCCTCTAATTCACATACTCAGCAGAAGCAGCCCATAATCCAGCTGGTTCAAGGTTGGTCCCAGGGAGGCAGAAAAGGGGAGCTCAGGTTTCATTCCTGCTTGCTAATGCTTCAAACTCAGAACATGCACAGTACGAAGGAGTACTTTAATTATGAAAAGATAGCTTTGGCCAGCCAGGGTTTCAAAACCAGAACCTGGAGCCCATGGCACATGCTGGCATGTTCTTTTTCTGTCCAGAGTTGAGCATGGAGTTTTTGGTGGGAGGTAGAGTTTATTTAGAAGGCAGCACAGTGGTGAATAATTCCCTTGTCTCACTGCATTGCCAAGCTAGTTAATAAACTGGCTCATTGCTGCAAGTTCTGGGTGTGTAGCCTTATCTTCAGCTTCCATCCTTCCCTCCCCGAACTGCCAAAAATTTAATGAAACGGATGATAATAAGAAGCAGCAATTAAATTGAAGGGTGCTAGTGATAATCACATTGATTAGTGGTTGAAGAGAGCACATGTTGTTATCCTATTATCAGTTATCATATAAGTAATTTTTTACATGATCCAAAATCTAGTGAAAAAAAATAGTGTCAGGATGACTGCATTCAAATACCTTCTCCCTGTTAAAAATAAAAGTAGTAAGTTTATGATCGTGAAAAGTTGCAAACTGGGATTATATTAGCCAGGACACAATGGGGGAGTTGTCTTAAATTGAGGCTCATTTATTTTATGCATGTACAGATAAGAATTATTTAGGCCCTAATTAGTGCTGGGGAGGATGGCGCCCTGCCAAGGCAAGGGTGGGATGTTTATCCAAGATCTTAAATCTGAATCTAAGAGCATCAGTGCTTAGTGCCGCCTGGTTCAGCTGAAGGAGAGGCCACTCCTGTGACATCTGCTGCCCGGTGACTGGTGTTCCCATGAGGTTAATGTGGGCAGTCTGAGCCTCACTTCCTTTTCCAAACAAAGCAGCACCATTTACAACTGCAGCTCTCAGCCTTGGCTGCACACTGTCCTCACCTGAGAACTTTTAACAAGCGCGCATGCCTGAGTCCCCATCCCCTGGGATTTTGGTTTAATTGGCCTCAGTGCAGACTGATGGAAAAGCAGCTAACACAAATGAAGAATGTAACACTCCCTTCCAGAAGGCTGAATTCTCCAAATGGGAGTGGGCACAGTGCTATGGTCCACCCTCTGGCTAAACCTCATATGTGCTCTGTGGCAGGACATAGGAGAGGCCATTCCAACCCACTGAAAAGCTAGACCAGTGGTTGAGTTATGACTGAGAATTAAAGTCACAGGAGAAGCTTAGCAATCATGGATGCCACCATCTCACCCCCCAGGGATACTGATTTCATTTATCTTCCGTCATGTCCAGGTACTGGGATATTTAAAGCTCCCCAGGTGAGTCTAAGGGATAATAAGGCTGAGAACTAACAGATTTAAGACACAAACTCTCAAAACCAGGCTCTCTCAATGTCTTCACTTCTTCGTACTCTTAAAATTAAAGTTTCCAAAAAGCCTGT